CTAGATGGCTGAATGTCATATTTGCATACACAGCATTGACTTTTTTGTCTTAGCACTATGCCTTGCGTGCGTGTGCGTGTGTGTGTATGTGTGAATGTGTGGCACTAACAGAGATGTAGTTGTTGAGGAAAAACAGCTAGCGGGGAAAATAACAACTTATAATGAAATGACCAAACAAAATGCCAGAACTGCTATATTTACACTCATTGAAAGGACATGGTTGACACAAAGGTGGTTCTGTGAGAAGTGGGCGACTCTGTGTGATGCACAGTGTAGAGAGATTTCATATTAACTTGTCTCTTTTCTGCAAAAACAGAGCAGTGACCCAGATTGGGTCTGACATGAACCAGGTGTTTGTCTTCCACTCGTGTGGATTTCGGCAAAAAGTCGAATCGAGTCAGTTGTATTTTAACTTTGCAACATTAGAATTAAAATTCAAATAATTTTTCCAAAAATAATAATAATAAACATATTTATATATAAATTTGATATTAACAATTTAAAGTAATGTACAATAAGTTTCACAAATGTTATTAAAACTAAACATTAAAAATGATTTAAAAATTCTTTATTCAGGGTAGGCTGGAAACTGGAATCTCAATGCATTTTGTACATACAGACCATATTTTTTTTTTATTTGACTGAGATTGGTGGTGGTCAACATTGACCTTACTGACCTCCGCAGTGTTAGAAAACACACCTGACCCGGGCAGTGCCTTCACGTTGCGATATAAACCCTCCGTCGGTAATAAATGACGACACCTTGTTTTCATCCTGTGAAATAAATTCCATCTCCTGTTTTAGCTCATCCACGTCTGACCCCCACCACTCACATGACTCATATGTGAAAACATGTCATTTAAGAAAAAAAAAAAAAAAAAAGCATGTCATTTAAGAAAAAGAAGAAAAAAAAACCCTGGCCCTGTTTTTCTCGCAGACGTTGGTCTGAGTAATGTCCAGAAAAACATCTGACAGCAGGAGAATGGGCTGTGGTCAGACAGAGGGTCGTGGTCCATCCCTCTCTGTCTCCAGCAGTGTAAATCTATTTTCTCCACCATGATGAATGACGTTCCATTTTTCATTCATCTCTCTTGTACTTATTTCTTTCTTGTGTGTGTGTGTGTTTTTTTTCCCCTCAGTAAAAGGCCAGAGGACTGGGAGGAGTCGATATTCGTGCGGCACAAAGAGTCCGGCTGTAGATTGAGAGACGACATCCATTTCCACATGTACATCAGCACCTCGCCGTGTGGCGACGGGAGACTAAACTCGCCCTACGAAATCAGCACAGACTGTAAGTTTTTTTTTTTTTTTTTTTAAATCTTTTAGGGTACCTGAAAAACATAAAGGTGTTCACTGCCTCTGTAGCTGTCATCGTACCTTCAGGTTTATAGAAATGATTTCCTGGATTTCCTTTAATGTCACTCTTTCTGTCAGCTGCACTGGGCTGACTCCAAAGATTTTTTATCTGTGAAATTATGTTTCACTTTCATGTAGACAGTATTTTAGCGGCACGTGTCAGAAATGTAATCTACGTGACATTGTTATATACAGGAGGGTGCATACGCTCCTCAGTCTGTCAGCTCTGAGATGAAGTGGATACAGGGCAACGGAAAGATGCAAAGAGAAAACGTTTGAACTTTTTGAACCTTTAAAATGTTCTGCAGCGTACTTTCAAATATTAGAAAAATACCAACTACGATTCTTGAAATATTTTGGAAGTGAACGTCCAAAGTTTTTACAGAAGCTACTGTTATTACAAACAGCCAGAACAAAATATCTGATGAAAAAAAAAGCAATTTTTACAATTATTTTCTAACTATCATTCTTTACAATTAATTTTACTGGTTTGTAGTGCAGCGCGGGGGTCCTCAAACCACCGGTTGGGGAACAGTGCCGATCCCTAGGTCATTTTGTATCGTAAAAATGTACTTCCGTTTTTCTTATTTACTTAATTGAAAAATAATCCGGTCATATCCCTTTACATTTTTCATTCAAAGATAATCCGTCAATGTTACGAAACAACAGGTCATTCAGACTCTGATACTCACAGTAGTATTAAGTATTAAGTCTTAAAGATGTTTTATTTTGAAAGTTTAATGACCCTTTAACAGTAGTGCAGTATTACTGCTCCGGTTTTTGGTACTAAAAAATGTACTACTAAAGGTAGTAAAAAGGTACTAAAAGGTTCCACAGTGTAGCGGTTATCACGCCTGCCTTAGACATCTGCCTTACACACAAAATGTGTTTGTTTCGAGTCCCAGAGGAACCACATGGTTAATGGCGCCTCCTGTGGCAGCCTGTGTTTGTTGCGACGATTCACACTGTAAATTTCCATATTGTGGGACAAAATTTGATTATATTTCTCTAGAAAAAAAAAACAACATTTTGTTGGTTTGTTGTGATGTTCCCCTCTGCTGTAAATCAGAAGTCGGAAGTGCCTCAGTCCAACAGACTTGCTCTGCTGTACCTCGCTCCTAAACCAGACATTGTTTCAGTGACAACACAGTTAATTGGTCCCTTCATTAACACCCAGACAGTGAACAACCCAAGAAAAGCATCTAATTCCCTAAAAGGCGCTATTAACCCCATTTACACTCGGGCTTTCAGAGGAAGTGCAGCACCAGTTGTCTGCCCAAGATTAATTGATTGTCGGAAGCTGCTTGAAGCAGCTCAGTAAATTACTTCTTTCACTGTATTAATGATAAAACAACAAGATGTGGAATCATTGTTTAATGATTTTTTTTTTTTTTTCATCTGCCTGAGTGGACGCTGGTGATTAGTGGCTGAGAGTATTTCTAGACAGTTACACTTTGTGTACGTTGTTTTTTTTTTCACCTTTTCTTTTCTTGGCTGCTGATTGATGTGCTGTTATTTGACAAAAATGACTGATGTCACCGTTGGCTCGTTGAACAGTACACAGCAGCAGACACCTCATGAGGAAGCACCGCAACCATCTGCGCACCAAAATCGAGTCGGGCGAGGGAACGGTGCCGGTGCGGTGTCGAGGGCCCGTTCAGACGTGGGACGGCGTCTTACAGGGCGAGCAGCTCATCACCATGTCCTGCACCGACAAACTCACCAGGTCAGTGCTCTGAGTACTTCATAACGCTACATATAAATGTATTACTCATTTTCATCAAGCAGCTGTTTAGGAATGTTACATTCAGTCAAACATTTACGAACATACGTATGTTATTAGCTCGATATTATGATCTTACATCTATAAGGACTAGGGCTATCAGAATTAATGCAGTTAATTCATTCGTAAAATGTATCAATATTAATGTTAAAAACTACCAATTTTAATGGCTGGGCAGAAAGGTAGCCAATAATTCCGAGGTCCATCCTCTTATCGTTGCTCTAATGCAAAGTTAATACACATTGCAGGAAATCCTCCAGCCTAAAATATCATCTCGATTCCCAGCATGCATTAGTGGGAGCTTGCTTCCTCACCAGGCGTAGGGCTGACGTAAATCTACCACCGACAGGGTGTCCGACACAATTGTCAAATGCATTGCATTGCATTGAAAAAAAAAGTTTTTCATATTTTCTTTAAACTAATCATTCCATCATAAAGGATTAGTCACAAATATAAACATATTCTTTCTGTTTGAGTATTAAACCATTTTTATAATAGTTTTTTTAAATGAATTTCTTTGATTAACTACAGTCACATTTAATCATGATTAATCAATCACAATCATCATCAGGCCTCCAGTATATAAAGTCTAAATTAAAAAGAGAATGACCGACCCTATCGGCGGTTGTCTCTTCCTCGAAGTCAAGTGAAAATGATTGATAGAGTTGAACTTTATTACCTTTACAGGCAGTGATCTCTGTTTAAATAAGACACTCTCAAATGTGCCGTGTGAGCCCTGCAGAAGCTGACTGATATTTACCTTGGCTCGTCGATGCGTAGGCGCATCTGTGAGTCATTTCCCTGAGTCATTCTATATGTGAAGCCTTTTGTATTCCAGCTGATGGAGTTGTCATTGATTTCCCATATGTGACTCGACTGCCTAATACTCTTTTAATGAATAATTGTGTTAATCATATCATGGTTTTAATCTCCGCACGCGACTGTCGTCTCCTTACAGACTTACAGGCTCCTGTCTGCCCACCTGAGTTCTGTTGGTTAATCTGAGAGAGAAGAAAACTTGCTATTAGCTGTGATGTTTTATTAGCTGAGCATGTTTGTAGAAGCTGCGTATGCATGTGAAATTACAGGATAAAGAACAGTAGCTTATAAATAAAAAAAAAAACACTACATCAGTACCTATGTCACACACCTACGCTAACACGGTGCTAACATCACAATGTAGGACATATAAAATGGGCCAAAAAAACGGCACAACAAAAGAAAGTAAATGTTAAAAAAAAATGCAATGTATGGGGTACAACCAACAAATGTAAACAAAAGATCTTTCACATTCGCTAGCCAACTAGCTACTAGCTACTTGTGCGAACTATTTGGTGCGTTTTAATGCTGTATGTCGAAATGATTTACCCCATCGTAGGATCAATAAAAGTTCAGAAAAAGAAAATAAAATGTATATATATATATATATATAGAAATTGGAACAAATATGCTGGAACCTATACCTTCTTTTTTTATGGGACGTCTCCTGCTGTGTGGTCTGCAGCAGCCTTGTTAAGAACACATAGAAGGCTGTCCAATGAACCCAGATCTGAGAGTACAGCAAGTTCAGGTGTGACCCATCAGTCAAACTCACAGCTGCTCGGAAACCGGAGCGTGTAGCTTTTGACAAAGTGTTAAAAACTAATGGAGAAAAAAGCTGGAACACAGTGTGACACGGTTAATGAAAGGTCCTAGTCCCGGCGAAGGGAGATCAGCCAGGTCTGCTTACGTTAGCAGCAGCGAAACCACAGACTGTGTCGAACTTAACCTTGTTCATGAATACCAACTTTAACTGACTGGAAGAATTAGATGTTTTTCTTACTGTAAAAATAAACAACTAGTATTTATTTTTTATTAATAGAAAATATATATATATATAAATTCAAACAGTTCATGAGAAGAGGGTGCTAACAGCTGCTAATTATTAGCATCATTTCTATTTTTTTTTGGATAAAAAGTAACTTCTACATTCTGTTTTATTATTATTATTATTATTATTATTTATATAATATAGCGTACATCAACGCTCTGTTCTCTAGGTGGCGCCATAGGCAACTGCTTGGGTGGCCATTGCCAGAAACTGGCTCGGCCTTAGATAACTGAATCCAAGAATTGGGGTCATTGAGAACCACCTCATCCCATTAGAACCACTCAGGAACCAAAGCTAGGAGAGAAAGAGAGATAGACAGACAGAGAGAGAGAGAGAGAGAGGGGTAGCCTTCTCTCGGAGTCACTGTTAATTTGACCAATTTGATTCAGTTGGCCAGGGCTGGAGATGGTGTGATTAAATCTACCCAGGTCACCAACGAGGGTGAAAGCAATTACTTTACAAAAAAACAGAGTGAAGGGGAAAGAGAAAGGACGTCCTGCCTTTTTCTTTTTCCCACCACTCGGCCGACGCGACGCTGTACACAACACGGGCACTCCCTTTGCCTCCTCCCTCCTCCCAGTTTTTTATCACTTTAAATGATCGCTGGCCATCACTAAGGTGAGTGGGTCGCGAGGGACCAGTTTATCAAGGTCAGGATGGAGGATGAACCTCCGACTCACACACACACACACTCGCAGAGCTACAAAGTGATCCCTGGATCCTCTTTGTCATCACTCTTACCCGTTCTCCTTCTTTTACTTTTCTTGGCTTTATCGCCACCAGACCGACCGTAGGCCTTCGTCTCCGCGCTCCCTTCTTCCGATAATGAAGGCGTCGGCTCTTATTATCACCTCATCTGATCATCATCGTTGTGGGTTTTTTTTTTGTCTCAATCCAGGCGCTCCTTTTGCTAATATTTGACTTGAAGTCGACAGCTGGATTTAATTGAGGGGCCTAAATGGCGTTCATATAACGATGATGCTCTCTCTCTCTCTCTCTCTTTCTCTCTCTCTCTCTCGTTCGACTGCAGTTTTATGCAGATGAGCACATTACTTTAATGGTCGACGTTTAGCCGGGGAAGAAAGAATAGGTTCGAGGGACAGAGAGCGAGAGAACGGGAGAGAGAGGAGGGGAGGGAGGGGCCTCTCCTCCTCTTTAAATTCACACACTCGAACCAGATGGCTCTTTTCTTGCATGAGATTAGAAGATGTTTCTGATTCATGGTGTCGCTGTCTGGGAAAATGAATATTTCAGGCCGAACTGTTTATGTTTGGATGCAACATTTGGTTTGTGTGTCTGTGTGTGTGTGTGTGTGTGTGTGTGTGTGTGCGCGCTCCTCCCTCTTTGTTTGAAAGGGCAGGATGCACAGTGTCGACAGATTGTAGGTAAAACACAGGTGGGCGGACGTCGCGTCGCGTCGCACGTGCGTTTCGCAGGTCCCCGGGAAGACGACGATGTTAATTGAGCGATCTGGCGGTGAACGTAATGACTGATTATTATGTTGCAAAGAAAATGAGATAAACAAGCGTATTAGTAGACATTGTTTAAACATAAAAAGAGGAAAAGATACGAAAATTAGTGACGTATTAACGAGACTTTGGCTGCGATGGAGTTTATCTGGTCCAACACGGACTCTCTCTCTCTCGTGTGTGTGTGTGTGTGTGTGAAGGGCAGCAACAAACAAGGTAATTATCATTTTCCATCCATAAATTAGCATCTGTTGGTTAAATAGAGAGGATTTCAGCAATTGGTGGCACAGGACCAGCTGGCTGCGGGACGTAGTGCCACTGTATCTGGCAGGATTAGCCCCAGCGATTTTGTCTCACCAGCGGAACCCCCCGACCCCCCAAAAAAACCAAACCAAACTCAGGGAAGTTGGCTGAAGCTGTTTACTGCGTTGTTAACTTCTGCAGGGCCGATGAATGCACAACCAAATCTGATAATCCGACGATTACAAGCAATGGTGGTGATGGCGATTTGTTTGTTTGTTTGTTTTTTTCTCTTCGGGCTGAAAAGTCGCGTTTCATGTCGAAAGGTTTTGGTTTAGATGCTAGATGCTGTCCTCGCTACTATGGGTGTTTTTTGAACCTGGGTGGGAGAGGTCGACGTTTCATCACGTTTGGCATCGAGATAGCGATCAAATTGTTTCAACCTGTCAGTGACGCTCCTCCCTGTTGCTCCTCTCTTTTTTTCCCCCTGCCATTCTCTCTCCTCCTCATCTTTCTCTTCATCTTTATTGCTGCTTTCTTCACTGTTTTTTTCCTTTTTATCTTCACTCACCTTTAACCCTTTCCACCCGGACCTTCCGTCTAAAACTTGAAAATGTTTTTCCCCCTCACTCTTCTTCCTCAGATGGAACGTCCTGGGACTGCAGGGGGCATTGCTGAGTCACTTTGTGGAGCCGGTGTACCTGCACAGCGTGACGGTCGGCAGCTTGCGCCACACGGGCCATCTGGGCCGAGTTCTGAACCAGCGGCTGGAGCGGCTCGGCCCCTTGCCCGCGACATACAGACGCAACCAGCCCCTGCTCAGCGGTAGGACAAACACACACCCACAGTCTGTTACGTGATATTATAGTTGAATAGAAAAGAAAAAAAAAAGTCTTTATATAAGAAAGTAGCTCAATGAAATTCAGCCCTGAATCCTTGGTGGCATCGCCTCAGGCATTTATGGGGTTTTTTTTTTTCCTTTCTCTTGGACGAGTCTCAGTTTATCAGAGGTCACAAATGTTAAGATGGTGTAATAGTGCAAATGAGAGTTCAGAAATAAAAAAACAGCCCGGAAACTGTGCAACAGAACTGCACAATTTCATGTCACCGCCCGCAGCGACTCGGATGACCTGAATTTGTCAAAAGTCCTGACAAGTGATGGGGAAAATAGACGGAGAGATTGTCAGTGTGGCTCAGCCGCGTTGGATAATTGGTCCTGGCATAATGCTGGCTGTACAGTAGGTGCAGAAGAGGGTCATGCAGCCCAGCGCCACAGCAACACACTGTGGTTAAAGGCACAAGGCAGAAAGATGGCCGGAGATTTAAAGCTGCGGAAGCCTTTTTAATAGTCACTCCTTATCTCAGGTTAGCCATGAGTATCGTATGTCGCGTTCTGATTCAGTTTGATATAAATTCTACCTTAAATGATTATGGAGTTGAAATGGGAATGGAGTTAAACTAAAGAGGTAAAAAGAGAATATATTTTTCTACCATCAGAGGAAAATATCACGTTTTTTTTTTTTGTTTTTTTTTTAAATACTTATGTTCTATTAGTGCAGATTATAAACCAGTCTCTGGGGTGATTCAGGCGGCTAAATTAAATTTTAAAATATTCTCTTGATTTGAATTATACATAGTTATTTGGAAATCATTTTAATGTAATTAATTTGATTTATTTAAATAAAATAAAGTACAGGGTGTCCTCGCTTTACTACGAACTAAGGCGTTTCTCAAAATAAATGTATTAATAAAGTCTCGGTCCATCGTCCTGACGATCAGCGTTAAAACTAATTTCAAACAGGAACTAGTTGGTTAGCGATGAATACATTGTCACGCAGGGCTACGCAGTTTACATTCGACGGTTGTACTACATGCTACATGCTACAGTCACTTCCTTTCCTCATTGTTGTTTTTTGGGAACTTTTTCCCCTTCATTGTGGCTCCAAGGTGAAAGTCAGACTCTGATTTTTTTATTTCCTAGATCAGTGTTTCCTAACCTTTTTTTAGCCACGGCACATATATACCATCAGAAAAAAAAACACAGTACAACACCATACAAAAAGTATATGTAACGAAGTATAATATTTACTAAAAATGTACCCTTGTTTAGTTGAATAAAACGCTGATATACTGACAGGAATTGAAGAAAGACACTCACAGAGATCTTCAACAGCTCGGATTATCTTTTTTTATTTTCTCTTTTTAATAACCATGTGCTGCCACCTAGCGGAAGAGGATTTAGTTGCTGCTAGTCTGCTTGTCACGCATTGACGAACAAAGAAAAATATTTGCAACGAATAATTAATAGTTTTGGGACCAATTAAGTGAAATTGGATAATTTTCCATGGCACACTAGTGGTTGGGAATCACAGTCCTAGATTACGATGTTACCACTGTGTTAGCGTACTTTATGTGAGTTCCAACTAATGGCAAAAATTTGCTTGCGCCGTAGGAACGGCATTCCGACCTAAGCCGAGGACTCCTTGTTTTAGTAAATAAATTTAAATTAAATCATTTATAGCCAGAAAAATGTTCATCGTAAGTTGTTTTTTCCTACTGGATTAGCGGCGTTCTCTCGTGCGCTCTGTGTTTTTATATACAAACCTTTCATGTATTTTTAACCTGTAAATAAATATGTCAGCCCCGCGCTGAATTAACCACCAAGTCAGAAACTTCACACGAACTCAAGTCGTCCTGCGTCTCTGCAGAGACACAGAACCAGCCCCGACACAGAACACCTCAGAAATTGTTGCGTCTTGTTCCACGGAGACCCCAGGGTTTTGTTTGTAGTGAAGATGAACATTGGCAGCGGATGTGAATGACAGTAGAAACTGTATCAGCCATCACTTCAGATCTGGGCCGCTCAGAGAACACTGAGTGACAGACACAACAGCGATGTAGGGCACGTTCTATTCTGGAGGATCGTTGATTCAGAACAAAAACTGTGGCAGACATACAACGGGTCCACATTATACCCTGTCAAACCAACACCGTGGGAATTAAACCTGGTGTCAGATTTTTTTTTTTTTTTTTTTTTTGAGGAGTTTTAAGATGTACTTTTTGAAGGACACAGGAAGTCTTTGGTTGCGGGGCTCTGCTCCGGTTAATTGACTGCCATGAGGATGAATATTTTGTGAGGCTTATCCTCATCAAGATTGATAATTGCGCTGAATTGTCCTCTGGTGACGGTAACTCTGACGACTTTATCACTTAGTCCCCCGGCCACAACCCCAGGGCATTTCTCCTGATTTGCCTTTTTATGGACTTTTACGACTTGTCCGGAGTTAGTTTTCATTTTCGATTTTAGAAGGTTCAGCTAGTGTCTAGAGAATTGTCGTCTTTTTTTTTTTTTTTTGGAAATGTATTCTTATTATATAATTATTTTTTTAGTGATGCAGTTAGAATGAACATTTTGAATTTGATAATGGACTTAAACCTTTATTATTAACCTTTACCTTTATTAATATTTATTTAAAATATTTAATCTTGTCAGATCAGGATCCTGAAACTTTAAAGTTAAATTTTGGAATTTTTCGACTTTTCTCATTTGGTTGATGCTCTTTTTAAACCCAGTCCAGGCTCCCACTGGAACCACCTAGAATGTTCCATCAATGATCAAATGATTTTGCTTTTTTTAGCATAAAGCAAATGTTACCCTTTAAATTTGTTTAGGTTTAACAAGTAGAATAATTTTATTTAAATTTATTTCTGTAAAACACATATTTCAAACTCAGGGCCCGTGGGCCAAATCTGGCCCTCTATGTCATTTTATGTGGCCGACCAGAGTTTAACATCAAGATTGTTGTCCTAAAACAAAAGGCGTGAAAAAAAGTTAGTAAAGAGTCTGTATTTATCTAGGCCGACCAGAGTTTAACATCAAGAAAGTTAGTAAAGAGTCTGTATTTATCTTTACTGCTTTTTTTATTTATTTTATTGAGGAAAAAGTTTGTTCAAATTCACTTTTTCTGGTCAAACTATTCAATCGACTTTACATTTTCAACCTCATGAGTGATTGAGTTTGGCACCGCAGCGGTAAAAGCAAGCTGTCAAGGTATAAACAAAAATGGATTATTCAGTTTCAAGGCTTGAAATCATCAAGAACTGTGGAAGGATTTTTAAATTTCACAAGGACCAGATGTAGCTTCTTCTTCTTTTTCTTGCTGTGTTTCCTGTAGATGCTCAGATTGTGTCCCAAACTGTCAGGTCTGTGCTCCTGCACTGCCATCACTCTGTTGAAAGGTAAATGGATGAAGGAAGGGGCAGAGAGGGAGGAAGATGGACACCAGAGTGGAGATAGCCCAACACCAAATCAATGTAATCACAGCCTTTATAAGACAGCCATTCATTCAGAGGTGGAGCATGGGAAGAGAGAGAGAGAGAGAGAGAGAGAGAGAGAGGAAGGGTAGATAGGTGGCGGTGGGTGCAAGGCAGGAATGGAATAAAGAAAAAAGGCAGAGCTTTGCCTGCACTCATGTGTCTGTGTTCAGATCTGCCTCCACCTTTATTTCTCATCTCCTCCTCCTCCGTCCTTTCATCGTCTCTGATGAGCTCAGTGGCTATTGTGTGTCCACAGTTATTTAAAAGCAACATGCCCGCAGGATTTCCCAGAGAGCGCAGGGGGCCGGCTCTTATCGCGGCCAGCCAAAGCAGCTCCACCTGAACGTCACCCCCCCCCCCACTTCCCCGAGGGCCAAAACACATCGACGTGTCCTTCGCGCTCGTCCCTGCTGTTCACTTTCACCGTAGCTGTGGCATGTCTTTGTTGTGGGTTTTTTTTTTTTTTTTGGATAAAAGGAATTAGAACAAAAGTAGATAATGTCAACATTAATAACAGGCTTTTTTTTTTTTTTTTCGCTGTTGGCTGTGAACTAATGCTCATTTCACAGCTACACTCTGCTGCCTCTCCACATGTTCACTGTGCAGATAATTTCTTCCTTTTCTCCAGTGTGAAACTGTTTGTGTCTGCGACAGCAGTGAAAGAAATTGTGTTACATTTCCCACTAAGGAAACAACACTTGTTTGTTCTCCATACGTACTGGACATCTGGTGTTCAAGGTCATCATTGGTCGTTTCTCTTGGTTTGTTTGAACGCTTAAAACATTACTACAAGAGTGATGCAACATCATAAGTAGTTACTTAAAGGCGAATGTGAATCTTACACACAGTCATTGGCAGAAATGGAAATCGTTATTCTACTTGCTTAACCATTCCGCTCACCGTTGTTGTTTAGTTTAGTCGCATTTTTTTGGATGGCGGTTTTGCGAAATGACATCACACCCATGCATCTTTATTGCTGGTTTAACAGAAGAAATATTTTATAACTAATTAGGGATACAATACAACTTTTTCATGTCCGATACCGATACTGCAACTTGGCATATCTGTTGATAACAGTATCAACCTTTTAATGGTTAATAATTATGAAAAAATATTTATACTTAAGATTCAGAAAATATATACTTTTGGTATGTCACTTTTGATCACAAGCAACATACTACACTAATGATTTCCTTAAAAAGATATAATAGGTAAAATAATAGGTATGTCCATTTTTGTGGTTAAAATTTAAAAAAGATATACTTTTTTGATACGCCAACTTTTGATCACTGTGTAAGACTATACCAGTAAATTCCTGAAAAAAGTCTTCAAAAATAAAAGTTTCTCAAAAATGACTAAAAATGCACTAATTTGCCTTAGAATATGTACCAATTATTTTTTTATCATTCAAATTCAGAAAAATATAGTTTTTCCGATACCTCAGCCGTTGATCAAACGCAACATACTACAGAATTCATGTCTTTTGTTATCTGATGTCTCCCCACTTTGTCAAAAACCTGGAGTCACAAAACGCCAGTTACACTTTTTTTTCACATATAAACATTCACTTTGTCATATTGTGATTGTGAAACGCACCATGCGTGCGTTTACCAAACAGCCATGAATCCCTACTTCTGCCTCTTTCATGTCTGCTTGCCAAACACTTCCCAGAAAACAAATTGACCAACTCTTCAGAGAGGGGAAAAAAAAAAAATCAAATCGTCTTTTACAGAAACAGTGGAGTCAAGTCCATTGAATGGATGAAATGAGCCATGAACGGAGCTGGGGAAAAGGAAAAGACAGGATGGATGGAGGAGGTCCTTTTGTTCAAAGTGGTGCGTCTGCACAGGAGAGGGGAGAGATGGGTAATAAGAGACCTGGAGGATTGTTACTGTGGCAGGCAATTCATTCCAGCTCTGAGGTGCTGGAGAAAGGAAAAGCAGAGATTGGTGAATGGAGGAGTGAAGACGGGGAAATGACTGTGCTAAGACGGCAGATGATCTGCAGGCATGTACTGTGATATTGTACACGAGGTATTGTACTATAACAAGCTGTCTGTCAGGCGGCGGGATCAGAGGCAACTGTTGTTCCCCGTCGCAGAGAAATCTGTCTGCTGATTTTCTATGAAGCGTACTGATAGAACAAATAACTGAGTTGGAAAGGGAAGGTGAAATCCAAGACAGCGTTTCCTACCTGGAGCCAGGTTTTGAGAGTCGGAGTTGATTTAACGTTGGAGCAGCACCAGGCTGTCACCTTTTGTTAGCACAGGTGCTACATGAGAGGTGGCAGCGTGACAGGTATCACACCTGACACTTCCCCTGCTGTGAAAAAAAAAAAAAAATAACAAAAAAGCAAGTGAATCTGTTACTTTCAAAAAGGTTTTGGTTAGTGGGATCAGGTAGTTCAACTTTTTTCCCAAAAAAATATTATTATTAGCATTGTTAGGACCAGGTAGTTCAACTTTTTTCCAAAAAAAAAATATTATTATTAGCATTGTTAGCATTATAAGCATTATTAATATTATTATTATTATTATTATTATATTCCTGTCGTTTTTATATACTGTTTTACTGAGGGTTGTGGATGTCAACCTGTCAATCACGTCAATTCAATTTGAATTTCCTTTTTAACGAATCAACGCCTTTGACCTTATACTTTCAGATCATTTGATAATGTTTACACGTTTCAACAGCAGCCAACTGCAGGTACCAGCTTGCATCCCGGCCCACGGTGCAGCCCGCTAACTTCAACTTCAATACATAAGTCTACAGACATCGTTTTTCATATCGTAGCCAATATTTTTGGATTTTTTTAATCAGATCATATAAGACTGCTGAAGCAGCACAGTGCGGGGAACGCATAACTCTCAGTAGAAACCCAACATGTCCTTTCTCATCTATGGATTTGTTGCAGATCAAATAAGCACGAGTCTGCACTTTCATTTCTGAGCCACAGAGGTGATGACTGGGTTTTGCTACTGTACGTACCGAAGCTGAGTCAGACTATTTTTCACATGCTTCGTACAGTACAGTTAACGCTCTCGTACCAGAATAAGCAGAGAACCACCATACGTGTCTTCACTGACATTTTCTCTGAGCCCACTTCACTGTTTGAGCTTCATTTTTTTTAGCTAGCATTAATATTTCGCAGACATCTAATTTGCAAATTAATTTTCTCTTGTCAATAAGGTTAAGCGTTAAAGAGAATCAATCTTGATTAGAAAATGTTAGGAAGTAAAATTTGCTGTTGACTGCAGTGCCAAAAAAGTGGACTTTGGCCCAAAGCAGCGGGAGAACCTCGCCCGTGTGCTGGATGGCTTTCCTGGTCCCACCTCCCTCTCGCTCTCTGTGGGTGTGTCAGAGTTCCTTATAAACAGTTCTGTAGTTTTAGGCCCAGGTTGACTTGTTTTTTTTTTTTTTTTTTTTTTTGCAGCGCTGCAAAACTGAATGTCTACCGTTAGCCTCAGGGCGAGAGCAAGGAAAGGTTAAAGGAAGGTTAAACAAAGCACTGAAGCCAACGCTTTGGAAGCAGAAACACAGTGTTCTGCACTTCTTTCTCGTACACTTACAAATGATTTTTGTCATCATTGAGGATTTGAAACACCTCGATCAAATGCTCCGTATTCGCCTCAGCCCCCCGGGGTACATATCGACCCACATTAATTCATTCTCTCTGCTGCGTTGTCATCCCTGCAGGGCTGAGCAGTGCTGAGTATCAGCCGCCGGGGAAGTCTTCTTGTGTGAGCGTCAACTGGACGCTGGGAGACGCACAGATGGAGATGGTCAGCACGGCCACGGGACGCAGGCGGGACTCGGGGACTCCCTCGCGACTCTGCAAGCACGCCCTGTTCACCCGCTGGAGCAGACTGTACCGCAAGGTGAGGGCAGACCTCCACGGGGAGGGAAGGTAACAACAGAGCAGAACGGAGCAAATGAAATCGAGCAGAAAGGACTCTTAAAGGCAGCACTTCAGGTTAGAGGCTGAATTGTGTTTGAGGCAGCGGTAAAATACAAAGCGGCGCAAGGCGAAGGGCAGAAAGAGCTTTTCCAACAAGGTGTGCTGAGCATAAAAGAGGTGAGTTATCGTTGTACAGGAAAAAGAAAGATGAATAACTGAAGGAGAAGAAACACGTCCTCAAAAGGAACCACATGACTTTAAACACTTGCTGTTTGCTAACCACCGTGTTAGCGTCGCTGAGTGACCTAGCGAATTAGGTCACACCGTAAGAGCAATACTCTGACATACGTCGCCCCCGATATATATATATATACATATATACATATACATATATATATATATGTATATGTATATATATATATATGTATATGTATATATATATATATATATGTATATGTGTATATATATATATATATATATATACTGTATCTGATAAATTTGTAACATCTGCCGTCCGTGCTACTTATCAAAACTCAGCAGCGTAGATCTGTGACGGCAGCAGGCGGACCCCGGCCGATCCACTTTCATTCCCGTCCTGGAACTTTATGTAACAGACACTGCCTGCGTCGCCAAATGGCGGCCGTTAAAGCATAATGACTGTGAAACCATAATTATTTGGAGAAGTACTCGAGGAGGGCCTCCGCCCTAAGTGCTCCCCGCGCGCTGTACATAAGAGCCACGCAAGAGCAGTCGCACTAATCTCCAAAAGAAACTTTTGCTCTCTCTCTCTCTCTCTCTCTCTCGCTTTCCCCTCCGTCTCTCCGTCTCGCTCTCGTCTTTTTCCTCTCTTCACTTGTCTTTTTACTGAACCTCGCTGTTTCCCTTCGCAACAATAGCAATGCACAAAAAAGCACAGAGAATGTTCAATTGCTTGTGAAATTTAAATGGGGAGATTACACAGCTGTTGAAGCTCCTCACCCCCAGCACCGCCGCCACCCTCCCCACACACTCAAACGCATTTGTGCCGGCTCATTCGTTTTGTTTTTGCCCCTCCCAACTCCCCGACCCCATAAAACCTTTAGCCTCTGTGCCCCTGCTCACTGTTCCTGTATCTTTTTTTTCCCTTTTCCCTGTAACTTCTCCGCCTTGATTTTTCCTGACTCACCTCTTTGCCTGTTTTTCCACTTCATCAGCTGGGAATCCATGTGTGTGGCTCGGTGGACCACCAGCTCCTCTACTGCGAGGCCAAGATGGCGGCCCGTCCCTACCAGACAGTGAAGCAGCAGTGGTTCAGATCTCTGCAGGAAACGGGCCTCGGCACCTGGGTGAAGAAACCTCCGGAGCAGGAGCAGTTCCTGCTGTCGCTCTGAGGACGTCTGTGTGTGTGTGTGTTTTATAGAAAAGCCCGACACCATGTTTCACAGAGTCGTACCTGGACGTTTCACCTGTGCCACCTTTCATCATCGCTCATCACAGACAACATAAAGAGGAACGGCACGGTGGCTGAGTGGCAGACGGACCAAACATGGTGGATTCCTTTGAAATCCAACGACTCTTAACAAACACCACCCCTAAATATTGCACTCTTCAGCTGTCAGGAAAGGGTGGGGTAACCTTGAGCCGAATGAAAGACAGCCCCTATCTTGTCATCAGCTATTTCCGGGCCCCAAGGCTCCCACTGAGGAGCCGAGCCGCGGGGGAGAGGGAGAGAGAGGGAGGGAGAAGGAGGAAAAAGAAAAAGAGAGAGAAAGCAAGGTCCACGTCCAATTACCAGCCCTGTCAGGGTGACGGCTGATAGAGGAAGAGGAGGGGAGCCAAGGAGGGGAGGGAAAAAAAGGGGGGGAGAACAGACTTTTTGCTTCAGATCTGCCCTGCTCACCTCCTCTTTTTTTTTTTCATTTCTGTCTTTGTCCTCCTTCTCTGACTCACCCTTTAACTCATAACTCCCCTCTGCTTTTGTCTCCGTCTCTCAGTCCTCGCCGCCCTACAAAATTTGCCGTACCTTTCATGACACGACCCCGGGTTAACACTCACCGTGGTGGGCGGAGGGAAGTATAGTGGAGTAGGTACATAAATGCAGCCATTACAGGTGGAGAAGCACAGTCAGGGACCTATTTTTATTTATTTGAATTTCCTCATTGTGGTTTTGACCCAATGTCTCTTCTGAACCACCGTTTAAAGCTAGTTTTTCGGGTCATGGGTCATTAGTGAGAGCTTGTTGACCTCATCGACCTTGTACCCTAGTGTGTCATGACCACCCAGACCAGACATTAGTCAAGATTGTGGGTTTTTTTTTCTTGTCTAGTTGCTTCATATATGTATTTTTATATTAGTCATCCCTATTATTTTGTTTGGCGTATTTAACAGTGTGAATGGACATGCTGTTCTTGTTGTGCTGTGAGTATGTTTTTGTCACCGAATATTTTTCTTTGAGAAATTTTAAACACAGGAGAAATGTATTACAATGACGGCCCAGAGATCAAATCGAAGTTGTGAGAGTGACATCTAGTGGTGCTTTGCGCTCCCAAAAGGACAAGGACCTGAACCTTAGCCAAAAAGTATGTGATATCTTCAGTCATGGGGGGGGGGTTGTTTTGTTTTTTTGTTTGTTTGTTTGTTTGTTTGTTTAATTTTTTTTACAGTGAGTTCAGTATGTCCAGTACATTTCTAATATGATACGAATGAAGTTATGTAAAATTGTAGTATTGCTTCCTCGGCAACTACAGTACACAAATAATATTAGTTGTCTGTCTGTTGTTAAAAATATCATTTAAATAAAATACATATATACATACTTTTATATATATTTATATATATATACATATATGTATATATATATATACATATATGTATATATGTATATATTCTCTCAGTACAACCCAGAGGACCTTTTTTTCATTTAATAACTGTAGTTTGCGCCAAGTCTCGATTATGTGATATTGCAGTGACAAAGTCAATTTTATACAAAACGTTTCACCCATTCTTTAATACCCAGATTTTTTAATATCTTGTCATTAATTATTATTATTATTATTATTATTATTATATTACCTTAGCTATACATTACAATTCATTTCCATTTTTCTTGAACCCGTGTAGTTCCTCTCTTACCCTCTAGGTGAAACGTAGTGGCGTTACTACAAAAAGATTCAATTCTTTTCTTCGGCCTGTAGTAAATCCTAAATCATCGTCGTGCTGTATATTCCTAATCTCATGTCTGAATTAGCCATGGCCACCGATCTACAGAGTATAAGGCATGTCTCAATGGCAATATTGTATCTACGAGTGTACATATGTAAAAGAGCTGTATAAACGACAATGTCGACAAAGATGTGAGAGAGGTCCTACGATGTCTAATTATGATGTATATTAAAGTATACCAAGAATTGCTGCTCTGGTTTGTAAAATGCACTTCAGTTACGAATACAAAGTGAATGTTTGTACTGTATATGTGAATAAACGGGGAAAAGTCTTGTAATTTCTTTCTTCTCAAACATTGTAATTCATGCCGATAACGTTCTCCCGCCAAACGTCACCAAACTTCCAAACTTTCCTTCAAAAGCATGTGTCAATAAGTAGAGAATGTGTGCTTTTGCCTGTGTTTAACCAAATGTTTATTGTTTGGTTAACACCTTCCGCCATTAAGCAAAATGTACCTTCATGATATCGATTATTTTCGCCCTGTTTAGCGTCCATCCTGATAGCTAACGTTTCAGTGAAGTAGAGTCATACCAGAGCACATTCAGAAATTGCTGTTTGGCCGTTTGTTTTTTCTTTTTTTTTTTGCACAGTACTCCATTAAATATACATAACGTCGTCCTTATAACAATTGATATTGGGTCATTATTACTTTTCCTGCTTCATGATAACCTCCACTCTTAGCCAGTTTTGGCCCGCAGGTGCATTCAGTCAAATATTAAAGACGCCCCCCCTCTTGCTTTTTCTCCTTGGGGAAATCCAGCAGGAGGTGGTTATCTCTGTTAGGCTCGGTGGCAGGTGTCACACAGACCAGCCACCAAATTAGCCTGGAGGAAGAATGAAGTGAGGAAGATGAGGAGAAAGAGGAGTTGGAGGTAAGTCTCCGTAGCAGCATCCCCACCTCCCTTTCTCCCCCGAGGCCACTGAGTCAGTTGTGTGCTCCACTGTAAACATCATAATTGACAATTCACTGTGGTGGCTGGTCACGGTCACAGAGGCATGGGGGGAAAACAATCTGTCCCCACCACGAGGACTCAGACATTTTTATATTTATCATATATTAACTTTGTAATAGTACTGTTAGCAACAGCTACTCTGTCATAGTATGTATTCTAGTAGTGGTTTTGCATGTTTTTTTTACTGTTGAATTCTAATTAATTTTTGTCTTTCATTCTTCTGTTGCATTATTGCCTCCTATTCATCATTTTGTCTTCATCGTTTCTGAGCTTTCTCAGCTATTTAACTTCATAGTAATTCTGTAGATTCACCTACAGGTACTGTTGCAACTGTTTTTTTTTATTATTATTATTTCACCTTCACCTACAGGTACTGTTGCAACAGTTTTTTTATTATTATTATTATTTATGTTTGACATACTCTTTCAAAATTCCAACCCTTAACCAAACAACTCTCTAACCCGGTGACTCTGGTGTGTGTTAAGAAATTACTAATAGCTATTCTTAAAAAATCTACACGCGTCTCAGGCTGTGCAGTTATTAAAATTCTCGACAGTTTTCTTTTTTGATACATTAGTGTGATGAATTAAGCAGATTAGCTCTGCTTTAGAGTCACTGCGTACCACCACTGCAAGGCTGTCGAAAATGAATACAGATCTGCGATGCCACATTCTGCTCCCCTTCATTCATCACTTCATTAGTGCCCAAAAAACATTTTGTCACCATTAGGAGGGGCCTGCGACCTTCTGTTCTGAACTTCCTAACGAAGGTCAACTGTGCCTCAACTGCCTGCCAAAGCATCTGTAACAGGATACCTAAACATGAATGCATCACAATTAGAGCTGCAAAATACTTTAGTCACAGTTTGTGACTGAACTATTTAAGTTGTCAGCGGCCAACAGTAGGGGGCGCGCTGATTTTTCCAATGTTTGTGTAACGGAAATAGAAATAAATTGTGCGGTGTTTACTTCCGGTTTCGAGTCAGGCGTGTGAGCCAGGAGTGTTAGCTGTTTGGGCTTCCAGCGGGCGTCAACAAAGTCAACAATCTGGACACTGAGGCTACATGTGATTGATTGAGATGGTGGGTTTTTGAAAACAATTGTCGGTTGTATTTTGTTTGAAGTGGTAGATGTTCGGTCGAGACCGTTAGTGCAGTTTACGCTAGCATATGTGTCTCGGTAGCTAACGTTAGCCTTTGTCAGAAGTGGAAATGAGTCGTACTTAGTAATTCGTCCTAAACATTGAATAGAGTTGTCGTTGTAAATACGAAACTGGTCTTTGACAGGAGTTTTAGTTGGACTGGTGCACAGTTTTGAGAATATGAAACTGACTTGCAAATATTTCTTTTCTTGACAGAAACCCATCCTACTGCAGGGCCACGAACGGTCCGACGCACAGATGACGTACAACGGAGGAGACCTTGTGTTTTCGTCGCTAAAGATCCGGTGAGTAACACGAAATGATTGAACTTAACTAATTATTAAGTGCACATTAAGTGCCACCAATGACTATAGGATAGTAGTTAGTTTGACGTCAAGAATGTAAAATGTCCACGTAAAGCTACAAATGACAACGACTCTGCTAGTTTTGACTTGCAATTGTGTTACAAACATAAGGCTATACAGTGGATATAAAAAGTCTACACACCCTTGTTCAAAGCCAGGTTTTTGTGATGTAAAGAAAAGATACAAGCATAAATTGTTTCATAACTTTCCACTTTTAATGTCACCCATAACATGTAATAGGCAATTGAAAACAAACTGAAATCTTCACGAGGGAAAAATAAGATTGAGGTTTTGGAATGGCCCAGCCAGAGTCCAGACCTGAATCCGATTGAACATCTGTGGAGCGATGTGCATAGGAGATGCCCTCTCAATCTGTCAGATTTGGAGCAATTTTGCTAAGAAGAATGGGAAAATATTGCAACATCAAGATGTGCCAGACACATAGACACTTACCCAAAAAGACTGAATGCTGTAATTAAAGCCAAAGGTTCTGCAACAAAGTATTAGTTTAAGGGTGTTCATACTTATGCAACAATGTTGTTTTAGGTTTTTATTTTTCCCTCGTGAAGATTTCAGTTTGTTTTTCAATTGCCTATTACATGTTATGGGTCACATTAAAAGTGGAAAAATTTATGAAACGATTTATGCTTGTGTCTTTTCTTTACATCAATAAAACCTGGCTTTGAACAAGGGTGTGTAGACTTTTTATATCCACTCTATGTACCAGTCCATAGGTTATTTGGTACCGGGCCACAGTGAAAAAAATGTACTTGGTTTTTGCTAATATACCTCAGTCAAAAGATAATCTGGTAATATTTTAAAATAATAGGTCATTCAGACTCAGCATCAAACAGAATAAAGTCTGAGTGATGCTTTTTTTTAATGATCCTTCAATGCCCACCACCTTGCTACCAGTTTGTAGTAACAGGTGGTACTGGCTGACCAGTCATTGGAACAAAAAAGGTCAGGGACCGCTGGTATAGATGTAACTACTCCTGACTGCTGACAACAACACAGCAGTGTTGACGTGAAAGTCATGTTTCAAGGTGGAGAGTTATTTATGTTGATCAGTGACAAAGACATGCTTTTGTTGGTATAGGGAGTATATTTTAATTGAGTGTTTTTTTTATATTATATAATTAGGTCAGAGATGTATGTTATATTCCAATAAAGTTGATTTTCCTTTACATTTTAAGGTATAAACTTGCAATTTGATAAGACACAACCAGAGCCTTTAAACAGAGAAGGGTGTTAACTTTTCTATTTCTTTTATTTTGTCTACCATTGTCAGCTCCTGTTTT